GAGAGAGAGAGAGAGAGAGAGAGAGAGAGAGAGAGAGAGAGAGAGAGAGAGGACGGGGTGGGGTGAGAGTAAGTGTGCAAGAGGTGGAAAGAAGGAATTATAAAGAAAGAGATAGTTGGGTCGTAAGAGAATGACAGATAGAGCTTATGTACCTTTTTAAAGAATGTATAAAAGTGTACCGGCATAATATGTATGAACTACAAATACATAATGTTTTACTATCTTTCTGTTAAGAGAGTGAGTTTTTAGTTCTGTCTGCGTATATACATTTGAGAGAAAGAAAAAGCTTACTTGTCAGAGTACCCTATTTAATTTTTTTATTATGAAATCTTGTCATGCAGTTCTTAATAAAATCGCAGACATCTATATATGTCGCCTAAAACGTCCGAACCACTTAACTTTCAAATTTGAAAAAAATGAACTATTGTTCAGAATCATTTAAAAGGTGCACAGTTATACTAAGGAGTCACAAGTCACTGTAGTTTTTTCTGTTTTTCTTTAGTTTTGTTTAGATCTAATCTTGGGAAAGTCCGTCTTCTAAGACAGTCATTGTAAACAAGTGAGGCTTCTGTTCACAAGCAGTGCGCACTGTTTCCACAATGACTTGACGATCTATTCTTTTGAGTCCATTCATCGAACGGGTACCCAGCAGTTAGTAATGATATAAGGCAATCTGACAAGCTTTGACACTGATTTGTTCTACGGAACGTGGTAGTGCTTTTGATGGGAAAAGAAATGAAAGGCGAGGTGTGACTCAGCTTGAAATTGGCAAACGTCTACTTGAGCCTCCCATTCGGGACTTACTTGACCTTGACCTATAACACACATCCGGGGTCTCCACCCTGTGTGTGTGTGGTGACGTCAACATGGGGTCATCCTGACGTCATGCAAAAAAAAAAAACCACACAAAGAAAACGCAAAAAACACGATTTTTACGTATTTTTCTAGTAAAAGTTGGGACGGGGGTGAAAGGTAAACTTTTACTCTAATTCTTGATTAATTGGACCAATCGATTGCGACCCTTTAGTTTTCTCTGCCTGTGACGCAATAGGGTCGTAAAAAAACGTTACATCACTTGGCCTTAATATATAGGCCCTTTTTCATAGAGGCTTTAGCTGTCTTGTAGAATAGTTGCAAAATATGGAATGCTGGCTAAGGCCAGTGGACGAACAAATAAAATTTCCGTCTTGTAATGTCATATTTATGGTGTGACTCTCGTTGGGATTATGACTACCTCTTCAGTAAACATTGTGTGTGATGTGTGTGTGTGTGTGTGTGTGTGTGTGTGTGTGTGTGTGTGTGTGTGTGTGTGTGTATGTAGGTGTCTGTGTGTATATAATATAATATGTATATAATATGGTCGCTTTTAAGCACAATGGGGCTATCCCGAAAAATGCTGTTTTGAGAAGATCGAAGGTATACTTTTTACCCCTTCTTGTTCAGTTTCTTTAATAGACAGGAAGAGTTTTCTCTATAACTAAACATGCACACCACCAAAACCAAACTTCTCCTATAGGTAGGACAATGCCCACTTTTGGTGTAGGTTAAGATTTCTGGAAACCCCTAACATCTAGGTTAACTGGCTTGTCCTTAAAAGCGACCATATCAATTAATATAATGTTATGCGTGTGTGTGTGTGTGTGTGTGTGTGTGTGTGTGTGTGTGTGTGTGTGTGTGTGTGTGTGTGTATTAATGAAGAAACGACCATGTTCTTCTTTATATTATTATTTTATTCTATTGTGAATGATTTATGTTGCATGTAATCATTTCTTTATCATTTACCTTGTAATTCCCTATATTAGCGTTGACTGTAAATGTAC